AAGAATGTATGAAGAGAGCAAATCAAGAGAGAAGCAGAAAAGGAAACGAAGCACATTTCGCAGATGATGGTTTTAGTGCAAGGTGTACCGTATGTAACGAGTACCGTCCTAATGCTTGACAACTGGCATCCTTTTCTACGTATCTGTCTTCTTGCATCTTCAACTGGTGTCGATGCCTGTGGATGCGATGAAGATTCCGTGGCCTGCAGTGTTCAAATCCTTACATGAAATAGAATACAATAGAAAAGGCAGTAAATTTATTTAGCTCTTACACTATACAAACAAAACCAATATGCTTGTACTCTTCCTGAAACCATTGGTGATATTTCAATTCACCATTTCACCGAGAAAAGTAAATAATTTCACATTCGTACAATGGTTAGTAAAATTACGATGTTAGACAATATAGTATATATCATACAGCTATTATATCAGTCAAACCACGCGCGAAGTTCTCATTAATGAATTGTCGCGCACACAACACATTCAAACAAAACTACTATTGACTTAAATATCAGTAAATATGCATATTATTCAATTCAGATGATAATAGAATCTAATGACATGGATTCTGAATTCACTCGATAAATAATGAGGATTTTCTCGAAAGTGCATCACTCGAAGACCATTTTAATTCTCATTGGACAGAAACAGAATAGTAATCGGAGTTCAGAATAAATGAGGCACTGATGGTAAGAAGATTTCAAAAAGATAAAATGAAGACATGAACTGCCATTACCAGTTTCAAACCACCAGATATACCTTTGTCAACTAAACATCCTTGAAAATCCAAAGACTTCATCAATGGAGCATACCTTTCTTGTTAGTATGAAGACTAGACCATGTTGATGTTTCTGGTGTCAGTAATTTTATTCTCCTAAGTTGTTATCACACTTCAAAAAAGTAGTCTTTGGAATAACGTCAGTAACATTTTTGCAAGTCAAATCATTCGATATAAGTTTACAATCCCAAGGCATTCAATCATACATTTTATTCTTAAACTTGATGCAAAACATTGTTTGGGTGTTAATCTATCCGATCCACTGACCGAATGGTAATGTAGTTGCCACAATACATGAGGGTTGCTGGTAGAATCATGGTTCAGCAGTGCTATGGAGCCTCTTGCTAGTACTTTTAGACGTTCACTAGTTTCTCAACTGATGTCGAACCATAGTGAATACTGCCATCAAATCACTGAACTCCCACAAACTTCCAACTTGAATTGTTGTCTAGTACCCATTAGTGATATGTTTCAAGATGGAAATCTGTGATCTGTGAAGTCATTTTGGTCTAGAAAGACGATAAATACTCGTCGTTAGAATTGAATGGTAATTTTACTTTATGGTGGATCGAGAGAAGGCATTGAATACTGACTTCATGATTGAATGATAACGTGAGTGCCATAAGACAATGTTAGATTCTCTCTGAAGAGTTGAGTCAACTCTACATCTTCTTGACGTACTTATCACTCGATTTATGGATGAAAGAAAAAGTCTATCCTAAAATTAAGTTGAGGAATGATGATGGTATTGAATATCCTAAAGAAAAATTATCAGTTCCTTTCAATTCAAAAGGCAAGTCTGTATAAACTCTTAGAAGGCTATATGAAGTCTTGTAGACAGCCTTCAGTGATAAAGAATTACGCAGAAAGGCATCAGAAATCATCTATGGGATCGTAGACAACAATTTCCCGAACGACTGTTAATCGGCAAATGAAGAATTGAAGCACGACGATGAAGAAACATAACTGCTAGTGCTTCATATGAAAGTCGATTCAATTTTTATTACTTCTAACATAATTTCATTGACTTAAATAGTATCATTTTGAAATTATACTTATCTTCAAGTCGTAATTATTATTGATTATTTCCCCATTGGGTTCCTACTGGAACATATGGCTTCAGTAGCACGTCTCCATTACACTTTCTTCTCTTCAGCCATTTCAACCTGTCGCCACCACTGCTCACAAGCCTTCATTTCTTCCTCATATGATCTTCTTCATGTCACCCTCGTCTCGAACACCCAACTCGTCATTTCCCATCCGTGTTACACTCGAGCGACTGCCTTGGCGCGTGATGGCTCCAGTCGACCTTCTCAGTATATGCTCAATCCATCTCCATCTCCACTTCCTTCTGCATATTTGTTGGGTGGTGGGTTCTCGCTAGTTGGTTCGCTAGCCGGCCAAAGTTCCGTGTTACTTATTCTCATTATTCTGGCCATCCAATCTCCATTCTTTAGTATGCAGTCAGCGTAGATGGCAGCTGTTGATGTATGTCTGTAGTTTGTCGGAAGTGCTTTTCGTGACACGCTAAGTTTGTGAAGCATATAGCAGCACTAACTTGAAATCAGTGTTGAAAAATCCGAATCTTGTTCACGCTTTGTGCTGAGTGCAGTGCAGAAGATCTCCACACTAGTTTCAGAATAATGAAAACCTGTGTTGCTTTTCTGATCCTGGTTTTGTCATCCTCGTCTATGCCTGTGCCACCTGCAGTTGAAATGATGCTGCCTAGATAGGTGAAAGAGACTACTTCCTTTAAGTTTCTCCCGTTGATGGTGATTAGTGCTTGTTGTTGATGCTGTTATTGGCAAAGCATCTTCATCACCTCTGTCTTCTCTACATTCACTTGAAGTCCTATCTTCACTGCCCTGCCTCTTCTGTCAACTTGTTGGTTTTCGCCTGTAGATCTTCGAATCTTCAAGTCGTTGATAGACTGAAATTTCAGCCTGCCTATCATTTTGATGGCAGCATTTCCATGCAACATTTAACATTGAACAAGATGTGTTTAACACCAGTCGATTATATAACAGATTAAAAAAAGCCTATCACCAATGAATCTGGCTATAGTTTTAGGTAATTAAATTACACGAGATCCATTTAAAAGTGACTGATTACCTTTGATTGAATGAATGATTTTCAAACTGTATACAAACCACAGTGTCCATATGAATGTTTCTGTCAATTGACTACTTGATATCAGGTGTAGCTTGCTAATGAGACTAACTAGTTACTCAGTAACTTTGCTTGTAATCTGCTACATTGAAAGGATTAGCAGATAATTAGATCCATGGTTGATGAATGTTGCATTCTTGAAATCACAGTTATTAAAACTGATTGGTAGAAGCTGTCAAGATGCATCATTGATGCATCCTAATCGATTTTAACGCAGATAACAGAAATACACTCAGGATATTGTATAAATTTTACGTACTAAAAGCAAATAACTCTGACAGACTGCATATTAGAAGGGGTATTATAGTGTATTAATTGTTTTATGGTAATTTGGTTAGTTGTGGCTAGTAGAGGAATCGTGGACGCGTTTTTGGTTCTATTTGGTACTCGTCAGCTGGATGTAGCTGCACCCCAGTGAGTGATATTGTTCCCACCAAGACTCAAACCTCTTACATCCAGCCAATGACTCCTCAATAGGACGAAAGGCGCTTTAAGCTGGATTCCTCTACTAGCCGCAATCAACAAAATTGCCATAATTATCATTCAGGCAACATCGAGGCATCTGCGTAGGAACCCATATGCCAATAGAGGTCGAAGAATTCTATACAATGAAACAACGGAGAATTACAAGTGTATCAAGAAGTACTAACCGTTTATTTCAACAGATTCTTTTACACCATTATTGCTTGTATTATCCGGTAGTTGATGGGACTGAATTGGTCGGTCTCTGTTGACATATGGGCTCCTCCACGGATGTCTAGATATTGTCCGTGTTCTAATTATATATTAGTGATGGATAGTAGTTACTAGTGGAATGCAGTACGCGCGCTTCGTCCTATTTTACGCTCATCAGCCTCGCAGTGAGTAATGCTCAAACGCCAGAGCCTTATTTACTCAATAACCAAGATACAATAGCCACTTCCTGTGCTGCGGGTATAGTTCTAATGTCCTGGATTCACTTGTTAACAACTATCCATCATTAATATATGTGATTAAAATATAGGTAATTTCGAGGTATTTGAGGGACGAGGGCGCATATGCCAATAGAGACTGATCAATTCGATCCACTAAACGACGTGATAATACAAGCAACAATATTAAAAGTATACCTGTCACACAAGAAATGGCTATAGTGGTTCGGCGGTCTAGTGGATAACGCTCTGGCAGTTGGAGCAATCGGTCCCGAGTTGGAATCCTCAGCGGGGACGCTATCATTCATTAAGATGCAGCTACATCCAGATGACGAGTCCCAAATAGGATAAAACGTGAGTCCTGGATTCCACTGCTAGCCACTATTCATCATTAATAATATACTGTTATATTTTATAGATTTTAGGAAAGGGATATCATAACTATAACTTGACTGAATCTATCGCATGATTTTAATAACTGGATAATCAACACTGTAAAAGGTAAAATCGATTTTAGTAATAAGGTTATTTGAAGTATGTAACTTCGAGGTGTCTATTTTGTTCATCTAGGACATCTTCTAGTTCATAAATGCAGAATACAAGAATTAATTACAAAGGAAAGAGAAATTAGTAAAATGACATCGACTGGAGAACCACTGAAACATGGGATTATTGGGTAGCTGTTCCGTCCTTGTATAGGACTTCTCAGCAGTACGTCCACAACGACCTGGCTATGGATTGAACTCACCATTTTCAAGTTTCATGGTGAAGGTGTAAGGCGTTCAGCAATGGAAAACTGATGCTGGAGACATCATTAAGTAAATAATACTAGATCATTTACTGTGTGTTATAAATCATATCAACAAATCTAATATGGAAATAAGTCATTGGGATCTAGGCACTTAGTGCTGACGGTTCCCAAACAGAATGAGGTGGACATGCTGGATTCCACTGTTAAATGTGTTTTTGCTTTGATCTCATCTAACATATATATATATATATATATATATATATATGTATGTATGTATGTATGTGTGTGTGTGTGTGTGTGTGTGTGTGTGTGTAATTATATTGTACCAATGTATTACCTAACACTTCATCAAATTATATCTCTTCTCTTTTGATCTATTTTTCAATAGGACCATTGCCAACAGATCCTGATCCAAATTTTCCATTTCGTAGTCATTTTGAGAAAAGTGTTTTACCAAATCCTAAAAAGGCTATTCAACGTATTATTCGTGGTGAAACAAAAGCAGAAAGACGTCAAAGAAAAGAACAAGAAGAATTAGATCGTTTATTAAAAGGCGGTAATCATCATAAAACTGATTCAGTCGTCAAATTTCAATCATCATCATCATCATCATACTCTAAAGATTGGCAAGAATTTCAACAACTTACAGCTAGAATACAAAGTACTGTTGAAGAATCAATTAGTAAAGTTAAAACTTTATCGTCTATACACACAATTGATGATTATCAACAACCAACATCTGAACTAATATCAAATGAAAATTGGGCAAATTTTGATCAACTAAAAACTACTGAAAATAATTGGGCAGATTTTAATCAATCAATCTTATCAACAGAAATCCCGATTGATGTTAATCGTGTAGAAGTTGACGAGAATTGGGCTAAATTTGATCCTGTAAACGACACACAATTAGATCAAAGTAACATTGTAAATTGGGCAGATTTTGATCAACCACAAACCTCAACACAATTAGTTAATATTCAATTGACTGAAAGTATTGATGATAATTGGGCAGATTTTGATACATTGACAACAGGTAATAATCATCATTGTGATATATTGATAAGTGACGAGAATTGGGCAAACTTTAACTCCATTGAAACAAATAACAATTTATCATTTACTCATAGACGTGATATTCTCAACGATAACGACAAACATTCACATAATCTTGTCGACGAATTATCTCAACAAGAGAATCAAGAGGAAACATTCAACGGTGTAAATCATAGTGAGCATTATCAGGATTCTTCTAAAGATTTATTTATTATAGACAATTCAAAAGATCTTTTCAAACCATTTCATCCAACACACACTGATACTTCTCAAGATATACAACAATTACAAACTGATCATCATCTATTTGTTGTCGACAATCTTGAGACATCTGAGTATCAAGTGGACTGTGGTGATTCAACTTCTTCAAAGTATATCTCCAAGTTAAGTGTGGCTGACTACACTGGAGATACAACTGACTTAACACAGACTGAAAACTACTTTCTCATAACTAACAAATCAGACATTTCTACTGATCCAGAGTGTTGTAATTATTCTGTCAGTGTTGTAGATAATTTACCCGATTGTCAAGATAAAAAAACCGATTCTAATCAAACAGATCAAACTGGACATATTGAACCTATCGATGAGTTGAATTATTCAACAATTGACAATTTAACTGATTATTATCAAGAAGAATCCAGTGATCATCATTTTGTTGTCGATCATTCTGGAACTATTGAGAATCTTTTCGGTTGTGATTATTATCCATTAATTCATCTTGATCATTATAATTTCAATATAAGAAATTATAATCAACAAATAGAAACGAATAGTAATCAACCATATTCTATCAGTCCTTCATATACTATTGAAAATCAATCGAATCGTAAGAATTTACCCATTCTTGTAAGAGACAACTATCATTCATCTATATATAATCAAAAGATTAATTTTGAAGAAGCATATACTACTACTAATACTATTATTGATTTCAGTAGGATGGAATTCGATAAATTGAAGAGATCGAATGAGTCAACTGACAAACAAACAACACCTGGAATTGATGATATAGCTAACTCTGATATACATGTCAAGTATGAACAGAATGATGATTTTGATGTACACATGTCAGTAGATTCTAGTTCAAATACATCTTTGTCTAATTCTGATGATATACAAGAAGATGTAGAAGAAGTTGAAGTGGAAACACATAGAGAATTGACACTTCATAATGATGTAATCAATGAAAACAACTTAGATTATCATCAAAATTATGGTGATGATGATGATGATGTAAACATTCCTACTTCTACTGATGTCGACTATGATGCAGACAATGATGTTCCAGATATAAAAGATAATTTCCACAGTCAGTATGATCAAATGATAGACTCGAATCAACAAGAATATTCTACTGAAGAAAGTAATCCATTTATAAATGATGCTTTCCAAGGTGTCATTGATAATAAGTTAAATTGGAATGAACATAAAATCAGTATAGATGCTAACCTGAAAAGTATAGCTAGACCACGTATTAAACCAATAAGACAAGAAACTTTATCAGGTAATAATCCATTTCGTAAACAATCAGATACTGATGAACCAATATAATCTGTCCTCCTATTACTAGTACTACTACTACTGCTCATACTACTGATACTACTACTGATCTAACAGTGGATGAATTAACACGTGCTGCAGCTGGAATCAAACTGATCTATCCACAAAATAAACTAGGTCATCATCATCATCATCATCATCATAACAAGATGAAAGACAGTTTCGATAGTATGAATAGTAGTTGTTCATTCAATGAACAAGATACACAATCATCAATTGAACTACACAATGTTGAAGTACTTGAAACCATTGAAGGAATAGGCATAAATCCAGAAGGATTTGATCCATTACAAACTATTTATCCAGATAGTGATAATGAAAATTCCTCTGATTCAAGGGAATTAAAAGGTTTACATATTAAAATAAATCAAAAAGCAAATCAAAAGCAAACTACTAACAATTCAACAGTAGTATCGAAAAGTGAAGAAAATAAAACACAAATTACAATTAGTCCACCGCCACAACTAACAAAACCAATAAATATCCTTGATTTGGATATCAATGATAAAAATGATGAAGATGATGCAGTAATTATGAATAAAGAGGATAAAAAACAATATGAAGACACTCATAGTGAAGTAATCACTTCTCCTTCAACACCTCCTGGATGGGTAGACTTCTTCGATGATGAGAATGATGATAATCATTCTTTGAAGCTTACCACTATATATAAACTTGAAAAAGATGATATTGATAAAGCATTTGAAATTAAATGTGAAGCAGAATATGAAGATGAAGACAAAGGGATGGTGGCAACAGTCTATCCAGAACTTCATAGACCAGAAACACCAGATCCTGAACTGGATAAACCATTTCATCCACTTATTAATACACAAGATACTTGGCGTCTTTGGTTAAGGTATCCAGAGAAGAAAACACGTGTTAAACAGATAAGTAAGTATACAACAGATAGATATTGGCGTGAAGTAGGTATACGTTTAGTTGAAGAACATGGTCGTAAAGTGATAAATCTTTATGAAATTGATGAGAAGACGAATGAAATTTTTTCACAACCATATAGATCTGTACGTGTTGAACCATATATGCAGTTATCAAGAGAAAAATTACAACAATATGATAAATATGGTAAACTTCATGTATTCAAATTGAATCATGTTTCTTATAAAGAATTAGTTGGTATAAGACCAGAGAAGTTTTCAATTAAAAATTTACAAAATCTTGTTAGTCATAAACCAAAACAAAATATTACACTTGATCATATACCAATATATACAGAGATATTGAAATTTGGTTCATTAGATCAGACAAAAATTCGTCAACTAATGCCTATTATTGAAGATGCTTTAATGCAAATCCCATCATATAAGGATACATCATTGAATTATAATCGTCAAGAAGTTTGTTGTTATGTGATTGATGAATATGAAGGTAAATTAAATTTCAATGGAGTAATTGTTGAACAGAAAGCACGTACACGTATATACTTTACAGCATTTGTTAATGGTGGATCACATATTATACTTGGATTGAATGATAAATGGCGTTATGGTAGAGAAGTTGTTAGACGATGTGATATTTTACCAATTATGCATGATGAATGGATTAGTATACATAAACCAGAATTTCATTCATGTATACAAATGGATGAATATGAAAAAGATCATATGTTACAATTTTATCCATTAGATGGATGTCGTTTTGAACTGTTACGATTTCGTGTTAGTCTACGAGAGAATCATGAATTACCAATGCATATTAAAGTCATATATACAATTGATGGACGTCGAATAGCAATGAGATGTGATCTATTGGTACCAGGTTATTTCAGTGTTAATCAACGATGTGGTGCTATACCATGTGAAAAAGTTGAAATTCATATACCATTCCCAGAAGAATGGATATATCATCTTCGTGTTGAAAAACATCATAAATATGGTTCTGTACATTCTACACTACGTAAACCGGGTAAAATTAAAGGTCTTGAAAGAATTACACAAATGGCTCAAAGTCTGCTACCACCAAGTATGCTAGAGGCGAGTATTGGTGTTGCAAAATATGAACATTTATACAAAGCTATTGTATGGCGTATACCAAGGATACCGGAAAAGTCTGAAGGTAAATTACCACAAATTTAAAACAATTATTTCCCCCCCCCCCTTCGGCCACTTATAAACTTCAACAAAACAATAAGTAGACATATTTACGCTACACATTTCCAACTATCTGATCCTACAGAGGTAGACATAAAGACAACAGGTGAGAATATGAAGAGATCAGGGTAAGAAGGCTGAATTGCTGACATTGACATCAATTGGAGAACTGTTAAAAAAAACTTGAGTGATGACGGCACTATACAGCGAAGTGAAACAAGTCAGATAAGTGAACCATTGAATTCCTACAAAAAAGGTAAATAGGAATGTGCTCATCACTAGATGTGTCGGTTTCCCGAAGAATTAGCTTTCACGAACCGTGGGTAAGGCTGAACTGAAAGCATCCAGGTAACTATTCATCCAAAATTTTCAATAACTCCCCAACTCATATCAGTCAGAAAAACAAAATGATTTCAGTAATACTAATGAGATAAACAGACAGACAGGAAGGTCAATAAGCCACCAGGCACTGTTAAAAATAAATTTGTCAAACACGTATCAAAAGGTTAAAATTATAATCAGTGTTTTACTCAATCAAAAACCATTTGCCAGCTTAGTTTACAATAACCTGATTGATGCAGAATTCCCTTTACTGGCCACCGTCTACATTTTCATCTCACCTTCAATCATCACCCAGTATCAATAAAACTAGTCTGCTAAACTACACTTGCAATCTCAGTTAGTCAAATCATAATCAATATAATGCCCTCTATCTCATTCGAATTCATTTAGATTTCGATTGGGATGAGAAGTGTTGACTAATGGGCAGCAGCCAGTGTGAATACGATCAAGTGGTAGTAAGGTGTCACGGATTCACATGGTAGTCGGGCAAAACCCCACTTATGATTGAAATGAAATAAAATTCCAGGCAGTAGTCGAACCTCGTAGGTTAGTTGATAGTGTACCAGGCCAGTAACCCGGTGGTCACTGGTTCCAATCCGGCCGCGCTGAATACCTTGAAGAACACTAATTTCAACTTTAACACAACAATAAGAAGATGTAAATTGTCTAAACTGTATAGTGTTTTTGCATAACACATTTGCAACTATCATATCACATAAATATACCTACCTATCATAGGTATTTATATGAAAATTGATGAAGAGAAGGAGGTGAGAACACACAAAAGTGGCTTAAACTTCCTAATAGCTACGATCTCAACACATTTGACGATTCTCTGTCAGCATGTTTTGTAAATAAGTCCTGAAGAAAGTAACAACATCAATTCTCTGACTTATCTCAAAGATATGCTCAACCATCGAACAAGTTGGACCAATGACTACGTTTTTTTCCTAGACGACATACTAATTACTCATAGACAGAATGGATTCATACAACGATCTATCTACATAAAAAATTTATATGCACAAGGCAACATTTGAACTATCATAGATTTTGTTCAGAGTTCAGTACAAGTGAGTATTATTTAGGTGTTTATTCATTAGAATTCAACGGATATATATAGAGATGATACTTTGGACGACGAGGGAATAACATTAGGTGATATACTGTTGGAAAATAACAATCCCTCAAACCAGTAGAAAATTAGCATAATACCGAAACCAGCTGTTCACTTTATCTTAAAGAAAGATGTCTTCATCAGTCTTCTGTACAATAGGCTAGATTGGTCAACATATGTGGCTCAGCTACATCCATGATGAGTTTGCCCCGCAAAGGATGAGGTTCGCCGCTTCGATTTATTTCACTGCTGCCTGATACCGGGATGATTATAGAGTATCCTTTGAATATATTTCACATTTTATATGACTTATGTATATGCATGTATCGTTAAACAGATAGATGAATTGCTACATGATTACCAATAACTACTTATCCGCATGTATCCAGTTATACGTTTTATGTGTAAGTGATTGTCTTTACATCATCATTGATCATCTTGATGGAATATCCTAATATTAATTTGTTACTTTATTCATTCTCCTTTGTGAATACACTTTTAGCATCATTTCGTCCACATTTACTAACTTGTAATTTGATACTGGCACAACATGATACAGTACCTGAATGGGAGAGTTTAGTTCCTTATTGTCAAGTGGAATACACTATGCCATCAAGTAGTGTATCTGGGGCAACTGTACGTTCAATCAGTGTAGAGCATACAGGTAATGTGGAAAAGTTTGTTAAATATCTTACAAAGTATAAGTATACAGTGGATATTGATTATCAATTGGGTAGTCGAAAGGCACCTGTCATCAAGTCACTTCTAGATGATAATGATGATGATGATGCAGGAAATGAATACGGAAGATCTACTGATCAAACTCAATTGAATCGTCAATATGATGCAATCAGTCTTGATGACAACCATCTTCATCATGATGATGACGTTGGTGATGATGCAATGAAATTGAAACGATTAGATAATGTTGAAATGACATGTGATGTGAATGAAAGACAGACAAGTGAAACAGCTCCAACGGAATTCGGTGACCTTTTAGGCTTAGGCACAGATTTCAATGTGACATCTGAATCAATATCACCACAGCAAACTGGATCACTTAATACTGATGTTATTCTTTAAACTTGCTAACATCCTATTACTCAGTTATACACACTTACATATCTCATCATATTAAAACATTGGGTCTGTCTAAATTTTGAAAAGGGAAACAGGAATTCGCAAAAGAAAAGGCTTCTTGCATTCACACGCACACACAGACAACAATTCCTAATTGGTCCAACATTAGACTACCAATATCTTATATACTCAATCATGTGAACGCATTCCATTTTCGAGAATATATTCAAACTACTTACTAACTAGTTAGTAGCTTCATGTTATTTTGCGATATTATATGCTAAAGCTTATCATCATTATTTTTTATGTCATTTCCCATTCAATCCTATTTGCAAATTCAATCAACCTGTTTGTTATTGACCACATTCACTCTACAATAATGTAGATTTACCTCGCCTGAATACTGACAATCTTCTGTTCCCTGTTGAAGTTTATCACAAAGTAATCATTATCCTATTATTATTATTATAACACTATTACACATTTTATCATTATCACAAATAGTCGAGTAATGCCTGTATACCTGTTTACTCTGTCTCTCTGTACAAGAAGAACTTGTGAAATATTGAAACCAGCATATTCTTGTTATGCTATACTATACTAATATTACTACCATAAAGTAATCAGTCCCAGGCAAAGCTATTCTGTGATAGCCTGTACGATTTTTACAATAATCAGTCAACTAGCAAAAGAGATAGTGTATTTCGTCGAATTCCATTTCTCATCTATCCATTTACACAATATAACTGATTCAAAAGGGTTTATTCATACATATTCATATATTCCACACACACACACACACACACACACACACACAAACATATATATGCATATGTACTACTTAAACTACTGATATCATGACATTCATTGTATATCAGTCAGTGAATGGATACAATCAATGCATAAGTTTTATTTATCAATGAAGGAATAACTTATTGTTCTACCTATTGTGCAATTCTATTCATAAATAGTCATCAATATTAATTAAAAAATCCGTTTTCATTTCCTAATTGATCATTTCAACTATCTATATTATAAAACACTATTTCTATTCAATTTATGCAGACTACTATTACTACTACTTATATAAGCACATTTATTGTGTGAATTGGTTGTTTTGACAATCCCGCCATCCAGCTCCACAGCCTTTTTCATTCATTCATTCACTCTTATACAAGGGAATCTATTGATTTACATTAGATAAACAAATAAAAAAAGTGTTTACATTTCTCAAAAGTGATGTAAACCTGAATTTGTTACCGGTTAATAATAATTTCTGTGTGTGTGTGTGAAGAGAAATAAAAAATGTTTCTAATATAAACATAACTGACTACTTAAATATGAGATGATAGAATGAGTAGTATATATATGTAGATGTGTTTATATGTAATGCAATAGCAATTCTATGTGCCTATTATCAATATGAATGATTGTTTAAAAGGAAATGATGAGGTTTCCAATGTTCATTATTCATTATTATTATTATCGTGAAGGTTATTTAATGGAAAGAAGATTGTTTTTATTTGAGGAGGAATTCTTAAGGATTTGAGTGATGCTTTCATCGGGGAATCTGTTGAAGAGGATCAGCTACCAGGGTAGTGCTGTTCCCACTTTGCAGGTAAGTAAAGTCGTCGATACACTCAAGTAATTCGCTCTCTATTGTTAGCCGTGGGACAGCTGAAGACCAATCCTTGAGCAACAATTTGTATTTGGGTGGTTAGAAACGGATTTCAAACGTTCTCTAATTGACATTCAGAATGTTCAGAAGACTCTGCATCTCATCATTCAGCGTCTTCACCTAACAGGACTGACTATGTCATCTGCATATTCTAGATCTGAAGAAAATTCTCGAGTGATTAGGTCAACGTCTGTGTAACCTAGTGACAAGAGGCAGACCTCCAAGAGAATATCTATGATAAAGTTGAATAAGAATGGAGATGGTGGGCACGCTTGACCGACACCATTCAATCAGCATAGCTCCCTGGATATCTCACCATAGACTCTAACACGCCCATAAGTGTTCGAGTAGACAGCCTTCAATAAGATGATGTACTTACTCGGCAGGCCTTTCAGTGAGAGACATTGCTATAAGACTTCTGCATCAACGGAATCGAATGCCGCCATCAGTTGTCGGGCATCGGTAAGGGTGTCTATGTTCCAGGACCTGGGGCAGTGTGAATATTTGGTCAATACACCCACGGCCGGATCTAAATCCAGCCTGGTTTTCTCCGCCTTGCTGTTTCCACACAAAATACCTTAATACAACACTTTAAATGCTTTCTTGGCAAGTTTACAAGCCTAGATGACTTCTTCTTTTCAAGTAGTTGTTACTTTAACCAAAATGATTATTTGTAGATTTCATTAGATACATCAGAGTGACTTTAACATCGGATAGTCATTTAGCTCGTTGTCGAGTGTTGAGCCAGTTAGTGATGTGATGACCATCGGAAGTCTTGTTAGTACCACAGTTGGACAATTGAAATGTCAATGTGAACTATACATTTTGTGAATCATTTGTAAACTGATCACCGAAAATCATCACAATCTATGATGATATAAAAATCTGTCAATGTCAGGCATTTAGACGATAAACTTGCCCTTCCATATTTCAAGATATTCCGCCTTTCCTTGAACACTTCAATATTCAAGTTAATTTCTGATAAATCATCCTTTAACCAGTGTTGAAAGTGACAGGTGTAAGGTCAACATACAATATTTGACTTGTCTTATATCTTAACATTAATAGTAAGAATGTTGTCACAATATCGTTACGACCTTATCACATTGTAATCTTACCACTTCACTGTGGATGATTACTAAACTACTACTCACTAAAACGGTTAACATCGTTTGACAGAGTAAACTGTTGACATCATGGTTTTTTTATCTGATCAATACTACAGAGTAAGTTGACATGTATTCATTAAAATGACAAAAATCCTTTGAGCACATATACTTTTAATGATCTGTTCTGTATAACACAAGGAATTCAAAAATATACGGAGTTAGTTGGTTGGAGACAAGTGAAGGGTAGCCGTGAACACCTATGCTTCATTTTTGTTATCACACTTCAGGAAGACGTATCGACGGAAGTGATGTCCTATCTAAGATTCTAATGCACATTACACATAGATACAGTCAGAGACCTTATCACTAAGTTATTCGGGTCAGTATTAATTATGAGAAGGAGACGTTAAGCAAATGAGAAAGTGTCCAGCGATTTCATGACATATGACCATCACATCTGTCTTGAAATGATAGGAAAAGGGTAACACTGGTCAGAGACATTAAGTTGTTCAAGGGTAAGTAATATGATAACAAGCTGCTCGAAGATATTTACCTCATAGTGTATACATAGGTAAAAACTGTTAGTTTGTCGCAAAAATGCCTTTCGTTCCAATAAGAAAACAGTTTGTATCCCTGATCAACTGCGTTCTCGGTTGGAGGGGATGATCAACAGCGAACTCTGCTTCACGGCACCACTCAGTTCTATCACTATGGATATTATTACTAAATCATTTCTGGTGTGATTAACTCCTTTTTAGAAGTAGACAACATGATTAGTCACTGAAGAGTAACCAATGCCATAATGTTCAGTGTTATGAGCTGAAGGAATTCTATCAATCATTTTGTAATGTGATCAATCTAAGCTAGGAAACTTACTATGGATCTTTCATGTGACCAATTCTATTGAAGATGCTGACGAAGTGGATTTATTCTGTGAAGATCTTAAGTTGATAAGGAGAACTATGAAATAGGAAAAATACAAATATTCCATTTTACTACTGTTAATACCTGTAATATTCATTTTGCAGTGGGGTTAAACTCAGCTAACAGCTTGGAACGATACTATTGTAAACTTCCAGTGTAGTGGATGTTGTTGATCCCAAGGGATATAAGTAGTATATGTTTAGAGGGTGGCACATTGTGTAAATGACTATCTTAGTGGAAAGTGTACAATTAGAAACAGTTTAAGTTCCTTTTATGAATTTCCATAGCATAATTAAAAGATGAAGTTTATCTGAACAATATGTGTGTGTGTGGTGTATTTGTGTAATGCACATTTCAAACAATCTGACCCCCTCACGCACATTTACTTATCTCAAGTCAATTTATAATTAAACCGAGGAGTGGTGGTGATTGGGGCAGGGGGACAAATGCAACACATGAAGGTGGTTTCGATTTGTGTATAGCTGTGGCTTTCATAAATCTCAGAATACGTCGCTAACTGTTTCTATATAAAAATGTGAAAGTTGTTTAAACATTAACTTTGTGACCTGTTTCCAGTCACTGGTTCCTCTTGTCCTACGGACCCCAACCACCCAGTAGTCTGCATCACCACATTACATGGCTAAAACCAACAATCAAAGACTTTATGCATTAGTGCCATGTTTTAGTCTGGACTATGTAATGAATATCTATCACAAAGTTGTGACTATCGACGATGAAATATATCCAAAAAAGTACGTCATCCGGTAAACAATCCTATTCCTTCACTGTATGATGGCATCACAATTAGAATAGAATGACATTCTACACCATAGTGCACAAATTTCACACTTCCATTATTATTGAAATGATATACTTGTGTATATGAGAGGATAGTCGTCGACTTTTCTCTCTTCATGACTATCTTACTCTACACTATCCAACTTAGAAACAGGCAATAAAACAACATTTACAATTTACGAATAATAACAAATGAGAGGATTATTTATTATTTCAGTTTATTTCAATGAAAAAAAAACATTTCAGGTTGTTTAACGAGAAAGAGAAGAGAAAATGAAAAGGGTGGCAAAAGTGAAGATGTTAGAAGAAACACACACACACACACAGTTTGTTTGTATACATATACATTCAGGGTATGTTTAATACTTTCCAGTAATAAACATACTACTAGTAAGTAGGCAGGTTAACATTCAATATTCATTTATTCAAACAACTTTGAAGAGAGATAGATGATCAACTCTATCATTATATCAATCAAATATTATGATCAAATTATATATGCATTCAATGATATTATTATGGATTAGAGTAAAATACAATGAAACAGTTAGTGGTTACAAAGGAGATAGGAGAAAAGTAATAATCGAGAAAGAAAGAAAGAAAATGACATTGACTGATAAAGAATCTTCGATGATTAGTGAAATTAAGCCTACTACTTCAACTGATTATTACTCAAATTTATTTTTATTCACATGACCATTTACAGTAACCATGTACAGTATGTACAATCAATGCAGAGGATACTTCAACACACATGAACAACTATAGAGGAGATAAGAAGAATAAATTGGTATTATGTAGTTATTATTCAATACCAGAAGTGAAAGACGATGCGAATGTATATAATACAAATAACAGTAGTAGTACTACTACTAGTAGTAGTAGTTATACTATTCAGTAGTAAACAGACAAAGAGAGAGAGAGACCAACAAATAAATAGTGTATATTACTGATAAACACATTCATAGGAGAAAGACAAAAGAAATCGGAACAATAGAATAAGTATACAAATGAATAAATAGAAACAATATTCATCCCGATGATGTATACCGTTTTCGTTTTTCTGTTTCATGAATTATTTGACAGAAATCATCTAATGCACCAATACTTGTGGATAAACTTAGTAGACAAGAGAATTGAATGTCATAGGAGAGAAGAAAATGGGATTATAAAATATTTGGTCACTATCAATATAAATGTAAACAATATAAAAGAGGACAATGAGTACACTATGATTTATATTTGAGATGAATGGTGACATCAGTTGAGGAACCATTGGAAATCTGGGAGCACTGGGCAGCTGTTTCGTCCAACTAGCATGGGACTCTTCAGCAGTACACAACCACGACCCAGCTAGGGATCGAAGTTAAGACCTCCAGCTTGGAAAACTGAAAGTTATGAATGATAGTCGCACTATGTCGTGAATTGACAAGAATTGAAAATTGTGAACCCCTGAAAACTGGCCCAGTGACTGAATGGTTAACGCGTTCACTATGAAACCTGAAGGTCCTGAGTTGGATCCGTAGCCGGGTCATTGGTGCGTACTCCTGAGGAATTCCATACTAGTTGGACGAAACAGCTGTCCAGTGCTCCCACATTTCCAATGCTTGCCCAACTGATGTCAATCCATGGAGGAATACTACTTCTAAACACCATAATTATAAATACTAACTGATCAAGTTAATGCATAGATCATCTATGATCCTGTTATACAACTGTGAGATATACTTGTTGAAAGTAGAAGACATGAAGTGGTCACAGGTGTTTGGTGGAATCGCCGTGTACAGCAAGGTTGAGGTTTTAGGCGAAGCGTACTAAACAAGAGAGACATATGGATTCATAAGGTTAAGAACCTTAATCGACTGCAATGACTTGGATATACGCTGAACATGTTAGGTCGCCACGTATCTCAACGTGAGATGTTAGGGGAAGGTGGGTTAAGTTGGAAGAGGGTTCAAGATGACCAAATGAAGACGTCGCACTAGCCGATAAAGTTTTTGACTCTTAATCTGAGTTGTGTGAGGAGATCCAGACTCTGGTTGGGATCCGCAACAGGAAAGGAATCAGCCGTTGACGACTAACTCTTAGTCACAATGGTGCATCGTCTAAAGTTACAGCATTTACAATAAACGTTGTCTTTAAAGTGTTTATCGTCTTGTACAACTTCGTCTATTTTCATATTACTCTTTTTCAATCCACCTGTTTTATGCTAACGACTATGAAGGTGTAGTAACTTGAACCGATGAATTTGTGTTCGAGGTTCTAGATGGATGTTGTTTGTCTATACGTCATCGCCTATCATCATAGTAGGGCTGTGTTACAGTGGATAGCATGCCTGACAACTAGGTCACGAGATTCCAGTCTTCATTTCTGGCAGGTTCGTCAACTACTTTTTTAGTACTGCGGTTAATCAAACTGTACATTCAGCTGTCAACTAGGGAGTCATCACTTAGAACCCCATTTTCACACCTAATACCTGAGGATAACCACATACATAAGCTATGCAAACTTACACAAATTTGTAGTATCCATAGTTTAGTGGTAGCCAACACTGGAATCAACAATGTGCATTTCAGCCTATTTAGGACTCGTAATATGGATGCACTTGCCTCTCAGTAAATGATATACTTCCCAATGAAACTTGAATCCAACAACTATCCACTAGGCTATTCTACAATGAGATCAAATCTCTTACACAATCAGTATCATTTCTTATTTATTAGTATTTATACTTCCATATCGGTTATGTTATCCATGATTGATCAATTCGGTCCAGTATAACAAACAACAGGAAACTATAAACATCAATAAGTATCCTTTAGCAGATAATTAGGGATATTATACTTTAGGTCAGGCCATTAAATGGCACCCAAAAAAGAGAAATGACGAGTTATGCATCCAATGTGAAGGTGACATGGAGGAGAGATCATGTGAGGAAGATATGAAAGCTTGTAGGCAGTAGTCATGGAAGACTCCAGAGAACAGAGTGCAATCAAGGTGTGCTACTGAAGCTACTAGGAACCCAAATGACAAATAATAATGATATTAAGTTAGTCTAATATGTATTACAATGTAATGATTGACACATACCGACCGAATGAATTGAATAATGAAATTATTTCATTTCTTCTCAACTGGAAATTACTTTCAACACTAATTGATTGATCCAATAGATTCTCTTTGCGTATAGTATCAGAAAATAAAATTTTCAAAGCAGTACCCATACCTTGAGTCTATAAATGAAATGGAATTTAAAGAAAAAGGGCTTAAATTATTATTATTATTATTATTATTACCTAATCTGTATGAATAAAGTCTTACTGTTTTACAACTAACTGGTTGTCATTTATCCAAATCAACAAGACAGTTGTTCTTGTTGAATGAATATCTTTCTGAAGCAATTGAAGAAGAAACAATCTGTTGTTAGTTTGGGCATCTGTAATATGTCAATTAACCGTATACCTAATCTTTTTTTCTATTCTTCTTTGGTAATAAATTTTACATCATCTTTAGCTTATTCTCAGCTTTACAATCCATGATAATCATTCAAGTTTACACAATAGCATTATTGGTTTCAATAAATCCTTCTTTAAACTACCTATTGTAGCTTTGAATATCTTCATGCTTTATCCAGTCCGATAGCAAGTTATGTTAGTCATAACTTTAGCATATCAGACTACAGAAGCATAATGTGTGTTTTCTTAAAACAGTCAGTTAGTATAGTTAACCGGCTGGCTGATTATTTGGCCATCACCTATAGTCCTGATGAGATGAGTTTAAAGAAGACGTGAATAGCCTTCTATTAAAAGCCAAACGTTTAGATGGGCTGGTTGTGATGAAAAAAACAACCATAATCCACAAATACGAAAGGTAAACCATGCAAAAAAGCATCTAGATGGTACTTTTAGAACCGCAATTAAGCAAACGGATAATGGTAACCGCCTACTATAAATATGCTTAGATAACCACCTCCATTTGTAGCCTGTTACAGACATTCACCTTAATTTATCGCTGGGCAAAGATAGTTCAATTCACAGGAAAATGGCCAATAGAATATTGCTGCTTTTCCTAAACCACATGCCTAAACCTGTATTGACCTGGCTAGATACTCAACTTTAAAGACCATAGCCCGAATTTAGTAATTAGACTGATTGAAGTGTTAGCTGATGTATACGAATCAGATGGAATCTCCTAAAGGAAGCTGTCTCTTTCACCTACCTGCCTAGGAAGCATCCTTTCAACCACAGGTAGCGGCACATACGAGGATGTCTAAGCAGCCAGGATCCGGAAAGACAGCAACACAGGCTTTCATCAACCTCAAATCAGTGTGGAGATCTACTACACTCAGCACAAAGCGTGAACGAGATCCAGATTTTTAACACCGATTCAGTCAAGTCAGTGCTTCTATGTGATGGTTAGGAGACTTGGTGAGTCACGAAAAGTATTTCCAACAAACTACACACATTCATTAACACCTGTCACCTACATTCACTCGATACTGAAGATCAGATGAGAAGGCGAAAACAATAAGCAACAAGGAACTCATTCTGCCTGGCAACTAGCCAACCAAGAACCTATCATGCAACAAATATGCGAAAGAATAAAGGGGAGATGTATTCGATTGGACATAAACTGAAAAGACGGTTTGAAGATATCACGCTACAGGCCATATCCTCGAGTGTAAGCCAACGACGAGTTGGCCGTCCGAGACGAGGATGATATGGAGGAGATTGTGTAGGGAAGAAATGAAAGCTTATGGACAGTCGTGGAGCCAGGTAAAGAAGACTTCAGAGAATAGAGTGAAATGGTGACATGTTACTGGAGCACTGTGTTCCACTGTCTATAAATGTATTGACAAATTATAACCAACTTAATGATTAGCCAAGATTTTACAGTCTACATACATAGATATTACTGTTAATCTGTTATTCATGCAATTTCTTCCATTTCTAGCTTAAATTCAACTCTACTGATTCCTAGAAACATGATTCTTTTACTGAATTGAGAAGAAAAGAGAGAAAAAAATCTCCTATATCATTTTATATCAAAAACCTACTTGAAGTTTTCCCATAATCGACATTTTTCACATCCAACACAATCCATTATTCGTGATATATTACGAAAATGCTCTCGAAATTGCTTCTTTAATACATTAGCCTCAGTAGTATCTCCAGCGAATAAAAGATGTTCATTAAATATACTACCTTCATTTCTGAAGAAGAATGTAAATAAACGAAAGCATATTATATTCCAGTTATTCTTTCTATTATTTTCAAATATTCTACTACTATTAGAAAAACGTGCAAAATATTAAACTGTATCATCCTGAAGAGACTAAAGGATGCGCTAGATTCGAAAATATGACCAGAACAGACCGGATTCAAGTCTGAAAACCTGCATGGTTTCCTCAAGTTTGATGTTCTCAAGATTCATTTAGGCATTGGAGACTAGAATCTTGGAAACAATGCCAGTTAAACTAATTCCCCAACGGTTGTCACAAGATTTCTGCCCGGATATTTGTAAGGTGAACTTTCAAGATTCACCACTATGGCCAAGTACATTAGAGTCCTGTATACGTGTCTCAGAGACACAGCACACATCCATGGCTATAGATTGTAGAGTTCTAGTGAGTGATGCTTGCTGTCAGGTTTGGCATAGAGTTCGGACGTTGAAAGCTCTTACATAAGACGGATGGTGGGATCTTAGAAGACTAAAAATGAGGTATAGGTGGGTTTGATGATGAACAATTGTTACAGAGTGAGAGGTTGAGAAAGGTGTAAGAGGCCTAATATTAGTATGAGGAGGCGAAGGCGAAAGAGGAGACAGTTGAAGAGAATAGGCTATGTTTGATTGGGTCTTGTGTACCACTAGAAGCGTGCGGGTGGTTGACACTTTTAGGTTGGTTACACCGTGGAAGGCTATTTCTTCTTAAGATACCCATGTGACATCTGTTTGAGGCCTATCATACACAGCCTTTTGTGGAATGTTAATTTAAGGTTCGGTTGTTCCAACGCCGTAAAGAACTCATACCTCCTGGCATCCGGAAAACGTGGGGCATGGTGGAGTGTACGATTTTCGGGGCAGACCTTTTCTAACCTCACCACCTTCCACTAGGAAGGCAGCATCAGCATGACACTGGTGGTCATCCAAAGGGAAACATTTTGCTGCTGTCACACCCCATCCAGCTAGCAGCAGTACAACTTAACTCTCAGACCTCTATCATACAACGGTAACTGCCATTCGTCTTACCACTATTCAACAGACCTTTCTAGCATGGTAGGACCTCGAGGGTCATTGTGATCTGCAAACCCGACCATCACGGTCAGGATTCTCAAACTGTAAAACCTTTTAGTAACAACTCAAGGAGGAAGCAAACGAACCAGACAAATAATCAATTTTAACTCACTGAATTATTTGTAAAAAATCTTTAACAGCAATTCTAGTCTCCACATCCATTTCATTATCACCAGTGAAATAATTTTGTTTGAGTAAATATGGTGCTGCTTTAGCCAAAGCACGTAATTCAACTAGATAAGTGAAATAGAGATTACGCAATCGAATTAGACCATCTGGTACAATGGATGGATCAAAACGTCGACGGAATTCTTCTAAATTTGGACCCCAACCTGGATTATTTTTATCATAATCACGAGAAATAGGTTGATTCCGTGTAAAAACTGTGATAAACAACAAAAAGAAAAGAGAAAGAAATAAATCTTAATTAAACTGGATACCATTTTTGATGACAAGGTCAAATAGTAGTCAATTCATTTAAACAAAACAACCAGATAACAAAATACTCATTAGTAGGATATACTTTTCAAATCAAAGAATTTACAACTACTTGATGGGCTGTAGGCATATTATTATCATTACTATTACTGTTACTGCTGTTGTTGCTACTACTACTACTACTACTATTACCTTAGTATTATTATTGCCATTACTATTACTACCACTTACATTACATCATTATTACAATTATTATTATTATTATTATTACTGCTTCTACGACTACTACTACTACTACTACTACTACTACTACTACTACTACTACTACTACTACTACTACTACCGTTATTATTAGTATTAGCTCCTGAAAAGCATATACACATAGGATGCATGCATTAAAAATTGGTAGTTCTTCTCCCATTAACTAGCACTACTGTTATCGGATGTCATTCTAACAGTTAAAGAAGATTATCCGATTGCTTCTTCAGCCGATTCTAGAATCCTAGTTGACTAAATGCAAGTTGAATTTGGGAGTTTGTGAGGATTTATAGATTACCTCTTCAAGTGTTGTTATTCATCATCGAATGAGATCAGTTCGAGGATTAGTGGAAACCTGAGAGCACTGGACAGCTAGCTGTTTTCGTCCGAGTAGTATGAGACTCTTCAACAGTGTGCACCCACAATCCTACACTTTCAGGGATTGAACCCGCGACCTTCAGGTTCCGTAACCAGCATGTTACCATTCAGCTAGCCATTGGGTTGGAATCCAAGCGACCATATTTCTAACTCCTGTCAGTTCACTATATAGAGTGACCGCACCCATGTCATCATTGAGTATTTATCTTCACAGCCACCATGTTTGTCCCAGTGGAACTTCAAGAATCACCTACTGAGGACAAATATTCAACGACGACATTGGGTAACGGTCGCGCTATATCATGAACTGACAGAAGTTGGAAATGTGGGCCATTGGATTCCAACCCAATGGCTAGCTCAATGGTAACATTCTAGCCACGGGACCTGAAGGTCGCAGATTTGATGCCTAGTGGTGAGGTCGTGGGTGCACACTGTTGAACAGCCCCATACTAGTCGGACGAAACATCTGGCTGTCCAGTGCTCTCAGGTTTCCATTGTTCCTACAACTTGATGTCATTCCATAATGAATGCCAACTTCAAATAGAAATTGCTGCGAAAAATGTTGAAACTCTGACCAAGTCAAGCGTTGAAAGTGGAGTATGGAAACCAAACAAGTACTCCTCAGAAAAATTGATTTGACTCAAACTACTATCCAACAAGGTAAAAATTAGTATTAAAATGAAAACCAGCTGGGAAGCATAACAATAAACCATGAGTAGTAAATTTTTTTGAACTACATAAGATGATAGCATGAAAGAGCTGACAGGATGTTTGTACTTGTTAGTTACCAAGATGAACCGTTGAAATGGTCAATTAGTCAGTCAGTATCAATCAACTTGGGACTTGATATCTCTTTCACCTACCTCTGCAGCATCGTCTCAACTACAAGCGGCAAAGGCATATATGAGGATGTCAAAACAGCGAGGATCGGAAAGACAGCTACACAGACCTCCTTTCATCAATCTGAAATCAGTGTGGAGATCTATTGCACTGCACCACACTTCACTCCACTCAGCATAAAGCGTGAATAACATCCAGATTTTTAACACCGATTCAGTCAAGTCACTCACTGCTTCCTTCTAGGTGATACTTGACAGACTTGGTGCGTCACCAATAGTATTTCCAAAAAACTACACACATTCATTAACACCTGTCACCTACATTCACTTGATACTGAAGATCAGATGAGAAGGCAAGAAAGAATAAGCAACAAGGAACTCATTCTACCTGGCAACCAGCCAACCAAGAACCTATCATGCAACAAATATGCAGAAGAATAAAGGAAAGATGGATTCGATTGGACATACACGAGTTGGGCGTCCGAGACGAGGATGATATGGAGGAGATTGTGTGGGGAAGAAATGAAAGCTTATGGACAGTCGTGGAGCCAGGTCAAGAAGACTTCGGAGAAGATAATGAAATGCTGACGTGCTACCGAAGTCCTATGTTCCACTAGGAACCCATAGGACAAGTAATAATAATAACAATAAATGGGACCTGACACGGTTGTATAACGGTTCAACCATCCCACAGATGAATAGCTACCTAGCGGGTTGTTTATTTTCACTTAAATACTACGTCCACTAGTTTAGTTGTGAAAATATTAGGCAATAACCTGCTTCTGCTAGATACGCATGAAAGACTAGTGATTCGAAGTTAGGTGATATCCTCAACTGCCTACACTTATTAACCATAAAACACCATTAGGGGGATTGATACACAATATGAACATTGACTTAAGAGTATCTCATCTTAAACATAGAAAAGATTATTCATATTATTATAGTGATAATCAGGCTATATTGTAAAATTTGACAGAAGTAAGAAACTGTGGCCTATAGAACTCCGATCCAGTGATTGAATGATTCACGTGTTCAATATGAAACCTGGAAGTCCTCAGTTCGATCTTTAGCCAGGGTCGTGAGTGCATACAGCTGACGAGTTTCATAAGAGGATAAAATGGCTGTCCAATTCTCTCAGGTATTTAGTAATTCTTCAATTGATGTCAATTCATGATAAATATTACTTTAAACATATTGTTATAGTCTAAAAAAAAGGTAAAGGTAATAAAACGAAATACAACTTACGACTCAATGGATATCGATAAGATAAGTGAACACTGATACTACTATGCAATCCAGATATCATTCGATAAAATGCTCTCTTTTCAAAACACGATGACTGACCTGATTGAATAGAAAGTTAAAAGAGACAAGCGTAAGTATTAAGCTAAATTACTATTCTACCCACCTCCTTAAACATTCTTATCATTTGATGAGTCTAATTGCAATAAGATAAGAGAATAGACACTAAATAACAAGGAACTAGGCGAGGGTTACAGGTGTACACTGCTGAAGAGTTTCATGCCATGACAAAATAGATGTCCGGTGCCCACCCAACCCTGGATTTTATTAAAGGTGTTTCATCAGTCTAAGGAGACTTGAGTGCAGATCGGTTGACACTTCCCGGTTGCCTACACCGTGGAAGGCTATTTCTTCTTAATGTACCTGACAGAGATTTATGTGACCGCAGAGCCCATCGGACATCTGCTTGCAGCCTGTCACATGTAGCCTTTTGAGTATGATTATTTGAACTTTTGTATTTTTGAGGCCGAATGGTCGAAAGGAAACGACAAATGAACCAACACTGCCGGCCCGGCAGACTGTCGGGCATGATGGAGTGTACGATTTTCGGGGCAGACCTTTCCTAACCTCACCACCTTCCACTGAGAGAGCAGCATCAGCATGACACTGGTGGTCATCCAAAGGGAAACACCTTACTGCTGTCAAAACCCATCCAACTATCAGCAGTACGACTCAACTCTCAGACCTCTATCATACAACGGTAACTGCCATTCGTCTTACCACTATTCAACAGACCTTTCTGGTATGGTAGGACCTCGAGGAAACAAGCGTTCCACCAGCATAGCTTGTTTAGTTATTGTGATATGCAAGCTCCACCACAGCATGTCAAGATAACAGCTATCAGTTGGAATTAAAGGTGTTTATCAAATCTCATCAGTAAAAACGCTGATACACAACTTAATTGATCCAACTTTGACTCAATCAAAATGTTCTCAATGCTTTCCCACTGATTAGAAACAAGATTTTTTTTTACCAACGAAAGTGAAAAACATTCAATAATTGACGACTATGAGTGTATTCTTTCAATGAAAAACTACTAAATAAACCTATGCATCTCTATTCTATAGTTTAATATAATTATATGTATAGAATATAAACAGTGCTAATCAACTCCAAATTGACAGTGGCCCTTTATGTAGGGTCGATATACCTACAAAAACTGAATTATTAAAAATAGTGTAGAAACGCTTAAATGTAGAACAGTGTTAAGATACACAAATGATGAATAGAATTAAACAGATGTTGAGCACAGTATAAGACAGAAAAAGAGACTAAATCAATGTAAAACGTGGCATATAAATGCATAGATTATAATAGTATATAAAGAATAGGTGGATAGGATAATATTCACATTTAAGTAAACAAAATTGGGTGAAACAGAATAAAGAAGGAGAATGTTAAAAGACGTCAAGGTGTAAATGTCACGTAGCGACAAGAAGGCAGCCAATAGGGGAGTTGTTTTCAAGTCATGATCAGATAATGTTCAAGTCGTGATTTATGCATACGCTAACCTGAAAACCTGATTGGAGAAATTCGACCTCATAGAAGAAATTAGATTGGTTCATTTATGACTTCACTTTCTGCGAGTTTTGTAAATACATATATATATATATATATATATATATATATATATATATATATATATATATATGTCACGTATCTGCGTAATAAAAGTTGTAGTCGCTGTTCTTGCGGTCGCAGGCCGTCTTCATCTTTTGATTTCTCCGCGGCTCAGTGAAGAAGAAGGTACTGACTGAGGTGAGTCGTAAAGGTATTCGGTTGAGGTGTCTAGTGAGTCTCAGTATTCATTACACAAACGCGCGAAAACCCATCACTCGGTCACAACAGAAAATACATCTGGGTCATTGCCAGATACTAGTCAGACAAAACAGCTATCCAGTTCTTCCAGGTGACTAATCTTCCTACAAACACATGGTGCTTCATGACTGTTTTTAACCAACACTTAATCTAACCATCCGGTGTAAAATAGGTGGAGCGCATTGACAACTTCAACATATCAATTTAGTAGGTAGTAGTAGTAACAGTCTGTAGAGAAGTGAAGCCAATATATGTTGATTGGCTTAGTTATAATATATCACTCAGGAATGCAATAAGAAACACCTTACTAACTTGATTACTCAGTTTACTACAAATTTCTCAATTCTTCATCAATTAACTTATTCATGTTTGTTGAGTAACATTCAGTCTTGGGAACTAACATCAGCAAAAATGGATTGGTTGCTGACGTAGTTGCAAATTGGATACAGAAGACCTATTTAACATTTGTTTAATTGCATCATTTATGACGTCGAATGACGATACATCTAACTATCTATCAAAGGATCAGTATACTGAGCTGGAATTCATTCTGCCCTACTGTACGAATATGAAACGTGTCCATTAAAAATAGACGATATGAAGCATTGCTCGTGTTTGGTGGAACCCTAGTGTGAGCAGTGTTGAGGTCGGGCATAGAGTAGTAGGCAAGACAGGTAAGTCGATTGATGAAGTTCTAAACCCTAATCCACTGAAACGGTGTGAAAATGTACCGTTCATGCTAACCCACCGCTTACCGCGCCTACGTGCAATCCCCTAAGGAAAGTTAGATTAAGTTGAAAGACAGTTAAGGGTGGTCAGACCAAAACATACCACCAGCCCATGACATCTCTGACTGTTGGTTTAAGCTGCGTTGGAATATGTAAACTGTTTGACTGGGGTCCTCCTGATGGTAGGAATCAGTGGCTGAGGACTGGCTGTTGACGACATGATTGACAAACCGTTACAATGGCGCAAATATATTCACTTCTTGACGCCTTCAGTTCTTTTACTTTCTCACTCAACTTTATCTACTTCGATATTAATCTTTTCCAATCCACTTGTTCTTTGTATGTTACTGTAAAAAGTGTGACAAGTTGAGTCGATGAACTTGTCTGCCAGGTTTTACATTAATTTTCTTTTGTCTTGACTTGTCTAGTATTTTCCCAGATCTTAATTACTAAGATCTACAGCTTAACAAATCAAATTGACATTCTTACTGATGAAAATTTATACTAATCACATTCAAATGTAATTGTACAGCTTTTGAGAACAGGGTTACTGAAAATCAATTTTTTCTCTGAACCCTTTATTCTTTTATGATTCAATAGGATATAAATAGACAAGTCAATGTAGAAACCGGATTACAAGTGCATTAGTTTAGGCTACAATACTTCAACAGTGAAGTATGAATTAACAGAAGAAGAGACATATCAAAGTAGACAAGTGTATAGGAAGAGAAAAAATTTTAAGAATAGAGGTTAATGAAAATGTCAAAAGAGTGTATGCATGTGCGTCATTGTGACAGCTTTCTAGTCATTTTATCAGAAGTCTTCAATCATTGATTCCTTTCTTCATGAGGACTCTACAATCAGGTAGTCTATACTTCCCTATACAGCTCAGTTCAGGTGCCACATCTTCGTTCGGTCACACCTTAAGCCTTTTCCCAACTTAATTCAACTTCTCCTAGCGTTGTACGTTCAGGTAAGCGGTGACTTGGTATGGTCAACATATTTCCAAACCACTTTAGTCAGTGAAAGTTGTCAATCTCAGCGATATGAAAAAAGGATTGTCTAGTACCCTTCGCCTAATCTCAACATTGATCACACCATCGTCTCACTAGACGTGAATGATTCTACAATGACATATCTATGATGAAGAGTCGGTTTTACAGCCGTATAACAGACTGTAGTGTAGTACATTCGTCATTTAATAGGTATTCAGATATGTGACACAACTTGGTAAACGTCAAACGAGCTGTTTATATCGAAGGTATGATCAGGTTAACCACAAAGTCATTCGATCTGATGCAATTTTCCGAGTAAGTGAAGTTGTCAATGCACTTCACCTTTTTTACACAGGATGGTTAGATTAAGTGTTGGTTGAAAACAGTCGTGAAGCATCATGAGTTTGTAGGAAGATTAGACATCTGAAAGAACTGCACAACTGTTCCATCTCACTACTATATAACTATTCAACAGTGCACACCCATGACTCCGCCAGGGGTCGAACCCAGCACCTTCAAATTCCATGACCAGCAAGTTATCATTGAGCTAGCCACTCGGTTGGAATCCAATGGTCAACATTTTCTTCTTCTATCAGTTCACGATATAACGGGTTCATGAGTACGTACTGCTGACGAGTCCTATACTAGAAGGAAACAGTTGTGCATTTCTCCTCAAATTGATATCAGTTCATGATGACTTCCAATCATTACAAACCTGCAGATAAAAGGGATATTTACCTCCAGTGATGGCATTATATATTACTCTATCTAAGGAATTCATCATTTCAACTTTAGCACTTAGTATACTGACGATATTTTGAAAACTATGCGTGTGTGTGTGTGCATACAAGCAAACCTGATTTGCATTTATTAAGTTATTTCAAGTTGTTATTCATCGTAGACTGATATCAGTTGGAGGAACAAAGGAAACCTGGGAGCACTGGACAGCTGTTTCGTCCTAGTATGGGACTCCTCAGCAGTGCGCACCCACGACCCCACCAGCAGGGATCGAACCCGCGACCTTCAGGTTCCGTGGCCAGCGCGTTACCATTGAGCCATTGAGCTGTCTGCGGAACCTGAAGGTCGTGGGTTCGATCCCTGCTGGTGAGGTCGTGGGTGCGCACTCCTGAGGAGTCCCATACTAGGTGGACGAAACAGCTGTCCAGTGCTCCCAGGTTTCCTTTGTTCCTCCAACTGATATCAGTCTACGATGAATAACAACTTGAAATAATTCCAAATCTCCACAACTTCCTCAAAATATTAAGTTATTGTTAGTCACTCAAATTTAATATGAATTCATTGGCTCTGATTTGTATTAAGTGAACAATAATGTTAGTATTCACACACACTGAAGTGAATAAGTGAACACTTTAGAAAATTGTTCAATTAACTTACATTTATATGCAAATTGTTTTCTATCTTTAAAGAAGGGGGGAATATATATATATATACACACATACAATCTATGGAGTGATAAATTGATTTCCTTTTAATGGATCTG